AAAGCGAAGTACGACAGTGAGCTGAACCGTGTTTCGTGAGAGTTGTTTTGCAATTTCACTAACATATGAACTAAACTCGTAGCAGCAATGAATGACTAAACGTTCATGTTGTATCAAAATTAATCCATCTGGAGCTGTAATAACTTTGAATTAATTACTTAGAGCACAACCTGTTGGAAGCCACGTCTCTATTGAACATGCAGCAAGGCCTAACTTGTCTGATACGAGCGGTACAGTATTAAGCACAGCGCTGTTAATACTGTGAACTGTGTTAAAACTTGCTACACCGAACTTGCATTCGCCAGAGCCATAAACTTTCAGCTGCTGAAGGCAAATATTGACCGCGTTTTACCTCGGGAAAATGGTCTGCATTTCCTGTTTATATCAATGACCACATTTGGAACACATAACCTGTTTCTTAGCCAAAGGGTGACGTGGAAGTTTCTCTCTTTCCCTCTCTCTCCTCTCCCTATGTCACCAACATCAATTTCGCTCCATTTCATACTTACTCAGTTCCACCTTAATCATCATTAGCTATCTCCTTGATTCTTTATCTCTTTCTTCGTGTATTTATTTTTGTAATTGCGAACGGCGTTGAAGGAATGATGGAAAGTACAGATAAACTTGTACTTGTGCTTAATTTACGTATTAAGCATCATACCGTAAAGACGTAAGGGATAGTCGAGGTATAGCTCCACCATTCTTGGACTCGGCACTAGACGGAGGTGTATGGTCAGCTTTAGGGTCCGGCCACCTTACCCCACGTACCCACTGGATAGGTCGCTGATTGAGCCCAAGGACTTGTATGGGCTCTGCAGAGTAGAGAACAATCTCTTTCCACTGTCGAGAATCGAACCACGGCCTTCCAGCTCGTAGCATGTGGTGGACCATTTTAAAGAATTATGCCAGTGGCTGCGTGGAGGTAGTCTGACTTCGGGTAGAGATCTGGGCCCGAACCGGTTACGAAGCAAGAACGAAGTCTGTGATTAATGTTGAAAGGGTGGATGTAGTGGAGGTGTGTGGGTAGGCAGCCTGTGAAGCTCTTGGCATGCACAGCGAAATATCACATTGTTGCATTCACACCCAGATATATACAGAAACGTAACCTTTAGAATATTTTTCACAATTTCAATCTTATCTCTAGGGCCTGGGTCCTCAGATTTCAATTCGAGGAAACGGCCTTCAGATATGGAGTTGAGCGTTGAGTGTGTTGAATGGGTAGTCACGGACGGCAGACAAGGAAAGATATTTCAGCCTGGAGATTGGAACTCCTTAGCATCACACATAAACAGCATGTGATGGAACGTTACTGCTATGCAGGGCTTGTATCTGAGGCTCACAATTCCAGGCCACGACACAGTAAATCAGGAATAATGATATCCTTCAGGTTATTAAGGACTCTTTCTTCTGATGTACAATGCATTTTAGTCGGGCTAAAGTCAAAGGACATTTCGGACGAAAATATCTTCTCCTCCTTTTTGGGGGGTTCAAGAGTAAGTAAACAAGAAATCAGCAAACACTTCTGAAATATGTTCCTTCGAAAAATCAGCTGACTTTCACCGGGCTTTGTATCACAGAAGATAAAACTCCTCATAATCACGACTGAGGGAACCTCAAATCCTTTCTATTAGCTGTTATGTTGCCCTAACCTCGCTTTCTTGGTTTTCCTCGACTCAGCCTGTAACAGATATAAAAGTACCAGGAATCTTCCTGGGGATGAAGGGCGGCCGGTGCGTAAGGCTGACAACCTCACCACCATCTGCGAGCCGGTAGTCTAGAGAATCTGGGAGCGTCGACGTCTCAAACTCCTATGGGCCTCCACGGCCGGTTACAGGGATAGCTTCATCTTTACCATACCCCGCAAGGTAGACTATTACGTATATTAAATAGGCCTGTCAGTTACTCCCTTGTCCCCAAATCGTTTCATTCGTGGAGTAGGTCCAGGGGAAGATGCGTCAATCCTCATTTCTGCTATGTGACAACGGGGTTCTAGCAGGATCGTGAAACAATTCAGCTTCCATACTGAGCTTCATATTACAATATACAAGCAATGCAATTAGGCCATTTTCTTTTCATTTTGTTGGGGTTGGGTGAAACTGACTCCACTTGGTACGTCGGCCACTGTTTGGCCTATTGTACGAGCCCAAGATGAGAGATGATGAATGTGGAGAAGTTGGTGGAATGTGAATTGTCAGGGCAAACCGGAGTACTCGGAGGAAACCTGCTCTAGTGTAAAGTTGTCCACCACAAACTCCACACTACCTGACCGGGGCTCGAACCCGGACCGCAGCGGTGTGAAGCCGGCTATTAACCGCCTGAGCTATGGCACGGCTTGCAATTAAGTTAGGATTCCACTGCACGTTCTGATTTACGTCCTGTCTCTTGTAGCACATGTCTGCTAATGGACTAGCATCGTTCCTCCATCTGCAATGTTTCCTCGTGTCCGTTAGTGTGAAGAACTGTCTGGAACTCTGCACTCCTTCACTAAGCCCGCTAAACACAGAATATTATAAAATAAAAGAGATAATTTCGATCGATCAAATCAGTAACGTAACTCGAGAGATCGACTCGTCAGGCGGTCAGAAGCTGGGCTCCAAAAACATTTGGTCTCTTCCACTCAGAACAGAGTGCTGCGTGAGTCCGGCCCCTCCGCCTGCTACTTAACTCTGTCGCGGATGGTTTAGGGAAGCTGCCCATCTGATCCAATTGGATAACTCACAGCTAAGTGGCTACCGACGTACAGAGTTACCATAACTCACACTTGGACTAATTCTTTGGAATGGTCTAAGCAACGGATAGTGGACAAGAGAACTGGAACTCGGAATGTCCATTTCGGTCCGATTAATTAAAGAAGTAATGGGCTATACGTATAGCATGAATAAGAGGGATGAGAACAGAGATTTAGTAGGAAACCCTGAAGGAATGGGATCAGTTGGAGACCTACACGTAAGAACTAATACTAAAATGACTCGCATTGTGGAAAGTTGTGGACTGGATTTATTTTGGAGCAAATTCGGAACCAATGGCAGACTTTCGTGAGAATGGTAGTGGGAAGTTCGGTTCTATATAAAGTGCGGAATTATTAATTAGCCTGGTGATTATTAACGTTATAAGAAGACTCTAGTACATAACATTTTTTTCATACCTTATGATTTACTCAAAGGCACTTTAAACAGCTGATATCAGAGCATCTCGCGAGGGGATAATTATTAATTTGCCGGCGTTTTGATTAAAATATACGAAAAGGGGAGAAGAGTAATGGACTGAGAGCACGTGAATCGGTCATTCTCTGTTTATCCATGCTTTTAGAAATATCGGATTTAATGCCCGAAGCGATACGAGTGAGTACGCGATCTTGCCCTCAGATGATGTTAGAACGTTCTCGAAGCTCTGGCAAAATATAATTTTATAGAAAGTGCAAACACATTTCTCTTTATATTTTTTATGTTCAGATAGAAATTACCTATCACTTCGACGCTTCTGAATGCACGTCACATACTTACTTGACGAGTAAGGCCGCGCCATATCTCAAGCTGTTAGTCGCTGGCTTCCCACCGCGGCGGGCCGGGTTCGACCCCGGGTCCGGTCAAGTGGGTTTTGTGGTGGATAAAGTGGCGCTGGGGCAGGTTTTTATCCGAGTACTTCGGTTTCCCCTGCCAATCTTCATTCCACCAATTGCTCCACAATCACCCTCACGTATCATCTGGGGCTGGTACAATAGGCCAGAAGTGGCCGCAGTGCAAGGGACTTAGTCCCACACCACTAGCAATAAGAGAAAATACTTGACGAGTACCAACAAATATCAGCGCCTGATATGTGTATTCTTCCTCTGTCAAAAAGTAGGTCTTTGCTTACATTTTCGTAGAAAATTAAAATCGAGATTGTACGCTTTCCACCGTGTTTAGCCAACTGCACAATATATAATTCAACACAAAACAAAATTCTCGTGTGTAAATCACAGTTATTTTTGTTCTAGTTTGGAAATAAGATTGGCCAGCCTACATATTGTGACATGTGAATCCATTGAACAGGTAATGTCTTTTTGAGACTCGTATCTGGGACGATCAGCTGGAACAGTCGGTTGTTAAGCAACGGCTCGATAAGCATTGTTCTCACAGCAACGTGGACCGAAGTTTCCTGCACAACGAAGGTGTAGTTTTCGCGACAGCAGATAGCTGAACCGTTCCACTCGGTGTCCCCTATTCGGTACGCCAAACAAATATGTAGTAGCAGCGGTAGCAGTAGCGAAATGAGAAGAAGTGAGTCGGCAGTGAATGAGCGTGCTTTCGAGAACTTAGTAGAGCTATGAAGAGAGGGATTCGTTATCCAGAAGGAGTTAAACGCGTAAACTGTTATAATCTACTTTAATTCTGATACAGACGTCAAATATATCCAGTCATCAAATCTAGAATCCACAATTATTAGTCACGTTACCCCGGATACACGTGACAGTATAAAATTAAATATTTATAAATAAGCAATTATGTTTAAGTCCCATTGTTGAGGTGGGTTAGAATACATTTCCTGTAGCCCTGCAAGTTGTAGAAGGCGACGAAAATGAAACCCGGTGCCTAGGGGTGCAACTGGGCCAGCCCATCAGTGCAGAACATAAATACAAGGACCTGGTCCTCCACGCTGGAGGTTGGAGGCAGGGCCGACGACCTTGCTGTTTAAAAATTATTGATGCGAAATCCAAAGAAGTGAAAACCGGACAAAATCTGGCAGAATATTCTGGGGAAGGTTATGGCTCAAAGAGAGCTTTTTGGCTGCTGCTGATGATGATGTACTATATTCAAAATTCTGGCTTTCATTTTATAGAGATACTATAATTTACGAGTACATATTTAGCGGAATATCTAATTATTTGTGCAAATTTTTAAACATAGTCTGTTGTTACTTATTTCCTGCTACATAAAGCCCACTGCTGGATCTTTTCATCATGCCCAAAACTCGAAATCTGCATGCAGCTCACCACTCGCTATGAGACAAATGTCACTTACAGTTGAGTTCGTCGGCGTGGTTGTCAGGGCAGTCAGGCCAACCGTCACACCAGTAGTAGCGATGCACCCGCGAACCGTCACCGCACACCACGAACATCTCTGCAGAACACACGAACACACCTTCACATATGCATCCTGTGGATAAGTAAACCTTCCCATATGAACCTAAAAAACTTCAGATTTTACGAATTAGGCACTCTCGCCTATTAAAAAGAGAAATGAGTTGCTCAACAAGGAATCTCACAGATATTTCTTGAAGCTCCTTAGGCGGAGAATCACGCCATAGCAAGGAGTGTACATGACACCAAAAACACAAATAAACGCAGACGTATTTCAATGTAAGGGGAGGGATTCGAACACACGATCTCAATGATCAAGCTGCAGAATACAGTACACGCCATAGTGTGATCACCATGATAAAAGGAGACTTTTTGCGCTTATATTTCCATGGTATATTTCATTTATTTTATACATATACATATAAAAGGGTAAAACAAATCTATCCCTGTAACAGGCCGCAAAGGCCCATAGAGTTGTGAGACGTCGAGGATCCACATTTTCTCTAGACAATCGGCTAACAGATGGCGGTGAGGTTGTCAACCTTATACGGCGGCCGCCCTTTACTCTCCAGGAAGATTCCTGGTACTGGTTTCTGTTAGAGACTGAGTCGACCCCAGGCTGGAAGGTTTAGGTCAACTGAAAAAATCCACCTCCTCAGGACTCGAACCCGCGACCTTCCGGTGTGTAGCAGTGTGCCTCAACCAGCTACGCTACCGCGTGCCCCCATCCATATACATATTCAGCATATAACTAAGGATGAGGAAGAAATCTGATTTCAGCGACGCTCCTTAAGTTATACACATAAAAGCCATAAACCAAAACGTGGGCACTTTTTGGCATTCAGTGAACTATAAAGAATTTTGAAGAATTATGTTTTCTGAGATATAAAGCTTTATAGTCCACTGGAATTCAACCGACGTTTCGGAGGGATATGTCGTCTCCATCTTCAGGGTCTAAGCAGGACCTGCCACTTGCTTTCGCGTTGATTTCTTGCTAAGCATATCCTTCGACTTCGAAGTTAGAGGCAATATGTTCTTCTGAAATGTCGGTTGGATTTAAACGGACTACAAGGCGTTGTATCCCACAAGATATAAATCTAACTAGCTCTGTGAGGACCTCAAATACTACATATAAAAGAATTTTATTAAAATTGTTTCTTATAGCTATTAAGGACAATAAAATGTATGAAAAATAAGATCTTCTTGTACAATTTTTAGCTGAAGACCCCAAAAAGTAGTGACTACCTTGGAGATCTAAACGTAGATGAAGAAAGGTTAAGTTAAAGTAAAAGGTAAAAGGGTGAAGTTCTCCTTGTACTTAACTAATTAAGCACTACGCCATGAAAACATATGAGGGAGTGGATGTATAAATCCATATCTTCTTGAACTCGGCATTAGTTGGAGGTGAGTGGTCAGCTTGACGCCCCTTCCGCTTTACCCCGATACCATTTGGTCGGGTAATGCTTGCTACCGTTCAGTCCAGAATCTTTTGGCTTCTCGTCTGCTGTCCAAAAACATAAAAATTAGAATATACAAAACTATAATTTTGCCTGTGGTTCTGTATGGGTGTGAAACTTGATCTCTGACATTAAGGGAGGAACAGAGAGAGGGTGTTTGAGAACAGGGTGCTGGCGAGAATATTTGGACCGAAGAGAGATGAAGTGACAGGAGGGTGGAGAAAACTGCATAATGAGGAGCTTCATAACTTGTACTCTTCTCCAAGTATAATTAGAATGATCAAGTCAAGAACGATGAGGTGGACAGGGCATGTAGCACGAATGGAGGAGACGAGGAATGCGTATAGGATATTGGTGGGAAAGCCAGAAGGAAAGAGACCACTGGGAAGACGAAGGGGTAGGTGGGTAGACAATATTAAAATGGATCCTAGAGAGATAGGATGGGATGGTATGGGTTGGATTTATCTGGCTCAGGACAGGTACCATGGAAAACACCGTATTCTCTTGCCGAATATTGTTGTCGTTCCCTAGCAATTGTATATGCAGCCCGTTGCTATAAAGTTAATATTCTTATGTTACTAACTAACAAAAACACACACCATATGAGAGCACGTCCTCCATTTCAGAAAGATGACTTTCGCAGCCTTCTTGGAAAATCCACTTCTTCGTAACAATTTCACTTGCTGTCTTTACTAGTTCCAACTAAATTGATCATAATTTTACAATTTGATTATGTACTTCATAATTTAATATCGGTCCAATTATTCTGTCTCGGCACTCTTCACGTGTTCATGCAGCAGCAGCTTTTCGTCTGCTGAAACTCTTCTTGGACTATCCGATGAAATGAGTGTAGATGCTACCCACGCCTTCATTTTAGACGAAATTATTTCTGTTCGAATCAGATTCAGAAGGTAAGGTGACAGGTGCAGAACATTGTCTTCCTGAAACTCGAAGATTTAAAAAAAAAGTTTTTAAAATTTTGCTTGTGCAATTTCATTAGCGAACATTGCGTTTGTCTTTACGTTCCATATTTGTCTCTATGCGCCGTCCTGTGATTTGCTTTCTGTCGAGTTAGAAGAAGGCACTTTTTCTAGCAGAATTTTGCGCTAAGACATTGTACTTAGCAATGTTGTTCTCAAGCACCCTGTTACATTAATACTGCAGTTTCGTACATACCACGATATTAAATATAACATTTATTTATGTCATATACACGGCAGCATAAAACTATCATCAGTCACGCTAAAATTGTTTCACTGTATGCTTTATTTTGTGTCACCAATCTATACTCTATTTCAATTTTTGTAATTATTTGTTCCTGCAAGTGATTAAAAGTTCTTAAAAATTAATTAAAATATATTCGTTAAAATTTTCTCTGCGCTACATTCTGCGTCACGGTATAGGTATAATAATGTATTATTATACTTGTGCGTACAGTTGTGTTACGTCACAATATCTAAAACAGTTACGGAACTGTCAGCACGATAAAAATTAAGCTTCTTTCACCCGTTTCTTATAATCGTTTTCATTCATCTTTTTTTTTTCCTTGGCACTACAGCCCCAGTGGGCTCCATGAACTTCTCCGTTCACTTCGGTTTTTCTAGATCTTACACATTCGGTAAGACCCCTTGGGTGGGTGATCAGCTCGTCGAAAGGCATCTACCTATATACAAACACAGAAAAACGCACACACACACAAACTAAACATCCATGCCCTGAGTGGGATTCGAACCCACGATCCCGGTTTCCAAGCGAGCGAAGCCAGTACATGCCTTAGACCGCTCGGCTACCGTGACCGGCTTTTCATTCATCTGATGTTGATAAACTCTAGTAACCTTAGTGAGTTCCACACAAGCAGAGCAATCTGTACAAACTCGTCTTATAATTTCTGGCCTTCAGACAGGGTTGCTGATTAGTTCTTATTGCCGTCATTATGCATGGCCTTGTTCTTAATATGTGTAGACACCCTGTAGGCCTATGACTCAACTACATACACAATATTCCTGACTTATTTCCTAGGCTGATTAATGTTTGTCTAGTACGACATTCACGTCTCCTGTACGTCATGGCTTTCCACGAGAAATGCCCCGTTTGCCTTTATTTTCTTCTATTTAATTCCCAACTGCATAAGAAACTTTCAGAAAGACGAATTTCCTCCCTGAAAATTTACTGATTCGCAAGTTTTACTTGTAAGCCCGACACAGTTGAGACTCGCTACTCCATTCTATAGAAGCCGTGCACTGTTTTCCTAATTCATCGACGTCGAGAATGGGCTTCGCGTGCCGTTGGCGTTTCCCATTTCCAGTCCGATAGGAGGAGCTACCATCTGCAGCGTCGTTACTATATTCATCTCGTTTCATTGCCACAGCTTTGCTTCAGCTGCTGCATTTCGCAAGGGAGTACGCGGTTGTGTAGTTGGATGACGCACCATGTTACAAGCCGGAAGTTCGCGGGTTCGAGTCCCGACGAGGTAATTTTATTTTTTTCAATTCACCTAATCCTTCCAGCCGCTTTATGGCCATGGGGTTGGCACTGCCTCTGACAAAAATTTGTACCAGTAATCTTCTTGGAGATAAAGTGCGGCTGACAACTTTACCGCCATCTGTGATTAAATTGTATAGAAAATGTGGAAGCCCCGACGTCTCACAACCCTATGGGCTTCCATGGCCTGTTACAAGGACCTCTTTCTAACTCATTTTTGCGACTGTTGAACCGGCAATGCTAATGACCCTTCATTGGTTTGATTTTCCATAAAATGTGAATTGCCTCTCTTGACTGCGCACTCCTTTTTTCTTACTGTTCACTGTACAGGGCGCATATCTGACGAAGAAAGAACCACAAACGCCTAAGTCGCCCAACAATGCTAAACAAGAAAATTGGAACATATTTTATATTTTTGCTAAAGATAGTCCCATAGCTCAGGCGGTTAGTCGCAAGCTTCTCACTTGGGCGGCCAGGTATCAATTCCAGGTCAGGTCATGTGGTATTTGTAGTGGAAAAGCAGAACCGTTCGAGTTTTCTGTCAGTACTTTTGTTTCTCCTGTAAATTGTTATTCTGCGGTTAGCTCCACATTCATGAATCATCCTATCACAGATACTGTATTGTTGTGATACTGAGAGCGTAGTTAACGAGCCAGCCGAGAAGAAAACTATTGCTAAACTAATGTTAGTGAAATATTCGGANAAGGAACTTGATTGTTAATTCGGAACTACTTTCGCTTCTCATACAAGCTGTCGTATAATACACAGGCTGCGGTAGAGGTAGAGGTCCTCGGTTCCAATTTCAGCCAGGACACCGGCAATCCCGATTCGGGCTTTTCACGGTTTCCCCGGATATTCTATGCAAATACCGGGACAGTACCTCGATTAGCCACCACCACTTCCTTTCAGATTCATGCCATCATACCGTCCGACGCTATGCAGTCTAGACACTGCTGGTCGTCCAACAGCCCACACAAACCACACAAGTTCTTGTCAAGAGTTGGTACGTGACATAGACAAGGCATGTGGTTGTTAATCACATGAGAAGACGAGGTAAAGCAGTACTACTTTCACGAGTAACAGCAAACTTGTTACGCTGTGCGCAAGCGCAGATCTTCCTGTAACGGACCTCCGATGTTCTGCTCTGTTGAGTACTGTGACCGCTTGAAGTTGCGACCCCACGCATTCTGAGTGATGCTCATATGAAGTTCTGTAACATTCCTATACTAATCCCCCAGCAATTTGGCTTACTCATCACATGGAGCTGGGGCCAGGCCTCGTTAAGTACTGACGAGACCGTAGTTACATTTTCAGGGAATATACAAGCTGCTAGTTTATAGAATGGCTGTAGTGAAGAAATTCACCCCATCCCCATTGTAAGTTAATAAAAGTAAAAGTAAAGCTATCCCTGTAACAGGCCGTGAAGGCCCATAGGGTTGTGAGACGTTAAGGGTCCCACATTATCTAGACAATCGGCTCGAAGATGGCGGTAAGGTTGTCAGCCTTACGCGCCGGCCGCGTTTCACTCCCCAGGAAAATCATTTAATTAATTAATATCACAAATTTTGTGCAAAGAACTTACAAAGCATGGAAGATGAGGAAAGCAATCTTCTGGGAAATGGTGCCGAGTAGAAGTTGTGTTAACCGACGTTTCGGAGGAACGTATCGCCTCCATCTTTAGGGTAGAAGGCAAAAAGAAATCCGCGAGCGAACCAGCTTGAGCAGGTGCAACAGGCTAGTTCGCTTGCAAATTTCTTCTTGTCTTCTACACTGAAGATGGAGGTGATAGTGCCTCCGAAACGTCGGTTAACACAACTTCTACAAGGCGCTACATCCCAGAAGACTGATTTCTTCATAGTCACCGTCGCGAAAACCTCAAATCTTACACGGAAGATGAGTTCTCAGTGTCTGATACTAACGAAGACATTAGACAAATTTACTATAGCGGGAGAATATCTACTCTTTCTTGAATCCCGCGTATTTCATTAATGTTTAGTTAAGAGCATGAAACTATTTCATTTGCTCACCCTGTCCACAGTCTGATTCATCCGAGCCGTCTTTGCAATCCTGGGTTCCATCACACACGAAGCCAGGTCTTATGCATTCCCCGTTGTTACATCTGAATTCCAAGTTCCAACACTTCCTGTGAGCTGAAATGTAAATATGTTAATATTATATTAAAAAATGTCATACACGTACGAGTAGGTTGGTTTCAAAGAAAGCTACATTGAGGTCACGGAAGATTCCCCCCATCCGTCCCTCGAATTGCACTTGCCCACATTCACTTCCAGTCGTTCACAGGAATGTTGCTGCTGACAACCAAGTGATACCCTCAAGCACTTTGAGGCGCGAGGGGACTGCAAGGAAACAATACAAAAGCAGAGAGTGGGAAGCGTCTAGCATCGTCATCTCCAGCACTCATGGTGCTTCATTCCACGACGTCAGTATATTGTGACGATTATGACCATTTGCTAGGCAACGGTTCGCGAGAACACCTCGCTGCAACGAATATTAACAAAGACATTCCAGTGTTCCAACCGTCCTTGGAACGGTGAGACGCTGTGAGGTAGCCAGTTTCATTCTTATGGTAGAAAGAGAAACCTATTCAATCAAAGAGCGCTTTCCTGTCCCACTGAATGACAGATGGGTAACACAAGGAGTCGCGGAGGGGATTTTGGAAAAGATCTCACAGTGGGTCAACACCATCGACATGCAGAATTCAGAAAGCAGTGAAAAAGGGTCAATGGGGAGCCTTGTGCAGAGACATGCAGACGACCTGAAACTGTCCGAGCAGAAGACACAGAACGTCATGCAGCTGCTGTCCCTTGCGTAGGCGTTTCGGAAGAGAACCGACTGCCCTGTGCCACGTGTTGTGGCAAAAGGTAAGAGGAAGTTGTCGCCGTGTCTAAATATTGAGGAGCTTTACCGCCTGTGGATGCTTCAAGCACAGTTTCCTTGCTTTTGGAGTCACGAGTAACAGTGGGAAATCTTACTGCTCAGTAATATTCAAACACCCAACTCTCCTATGTCAATTCAAAATAACCAGAGGAAGAAAACACGAAATTACGAGTACATCAATTGCACATGAATTAGTTTCAGTAAAAAGTTACAAAGCAGAAAGCATAAGGTAGCACGCAGACCCCCACCAGGACGTCGGCACACTATCATACAGCATTTTCACAAAACCTAAGGGCACCAGCTAGCATACGATTAGTATAGTATATCTATATCACGATTACATTTAACTATAATAAATAATAATTATATAATTATAAGTATAATAATAATAAATAACGTAACATATAAATTTGATGAACGGGGCACGCGGTAGCGTAGTTGGTTGAGGCACTATGCTAAAAACCGGAAGGTCGCGGGTTCAAGTCCTGATGAGGTCATTGGATTTTTTTCAATTGACCTAATCCATCCAGCCGCACTATGGCCATGGGGTCAACTCAGCCTCTAACAGAAATGAGTACCAGGAATTTATTATATAATTTTCTTCAGGCTAATGAATACGGAGCGAATTTAGGACAAATTTCGTACAGCACAATCTGTGGTTATGTCTACTGCTTCGCCGATTACCAAATTTCGTACACTATGCCGCCATGACATTTCATCATCAAATAAGGGTCAAAAATTACTCTTCTCTATCTTCAAACTGGTCAGTATCTGCATGAATTAAGTTTGAATCAACTGGCGGATGTCCATGGAAATTCGTATGAGCGTCATGTGACTTGAAGTCACCAATCCAATTTTGTGAATTTAATTTGCGAGCGTGAAGAAACACATGAAGCTACCGTGCAAAGTTCTTGAGCTTGGGAAAACATGTGTGACACGTAACGAAAGATTCTGAAACTTGGTCTGGTAACAGAGCTTCGATACACATGCGCTTCTGTTAAGGCTATACTTCTGTATACAGTATGAAACAAATTTATAATTATGTGAAATATCCAGTCGATATCTCGGTTTTGTGGCCATAATTATTAGATTATTGGAGCTAGGCAAGGAATGTAAAATTCTGGAAGGACATCGGTGGTATATTACCAGTTTGTAATATAAAAATTTGTTATTGAAGCACTCACTGTTGGCTTGATATTCAGAGTACTTGGGACTGCAAGTAAGTCAGGAGCTGTATGAGGTGCAAACACGCGGATAAATGGGAAATAAGATAATTAGTGCAATAACGACCAGTCACTTACAGCACTTATTCTCATCCGAGCCGTCTCCACAGTCGTCAACGAAGTTACAGACATTGTCCCCCGGAATGCAGAAGTGGGTATTACATTTGAAGTGCGTAACTGGACAGACGTAAGTTTCTGTAACAGAAGAAGAGAGAACATTCGATGAAATAAGCGAAAATATTATTAGGAAGTGCTACCCTGAAGAAGTGATGTGTTTAAAGAATAAATCCCTTAATTAGCAGAGTTGCATATTGCAACTAAATTTGCAGAGTGATCAACAAAGGGAACAACCTACTAACCTTCCTAAACGAATGACCAAAACAACCACGTTAAAGGCAAAATTTGACTGAATAAAAACTGGCACAAGAAGACCATATAACTAAATATTAAATAAGTAATTCAATAATAAGAAAACAATTAACCTACGTATGTATATATGTACAGAGTGTAACTGAAAGTTGTGACAAACTTTCGGCACCAGTTCCACATAAGAAAGCAAGAAAAATATTCATATCAGTATATGTCCGGAAACAGGGGTACGCGGTAGCGTAGTGGTTAAGGTACTATGCTACAAGCCGGAAGGTCGCGGGTTCAAACACCGATGAGGTCATTGTATTTTTTTTCAATTGACCTAATCCTTCCGGCCGCACTAGGCCCTGAGGTTGACTCAGCATCTAACAGAAATGAGTACCAGGAATTAATTAAATAATTTTCCTGGGGAGTAAAGCGCGGCCGGCGCGTAAGGCTGACAACCTTACCGTCATCTTTGAGCCTATTGTCAAGGTAATGTGGGATCCTTAACGTCTCACAACCCTATGGCCCTTCACGGCATGTTACAGGGATAGCTTTACTTACTTTTTTGTATATGTCCGGAAACATTTGATTTGTGTTATAGCTGCAAGATTATTTTTATAGTACGTGCTCAATATGCCCTCCATGTGATTCAATACACGCCTCAAAACGTCTCATCACGGACTGCCATATCCGTTCAAAGATGCCTGGAACAATTAAGCCCGTTTCTGTGGACTCAGGAAGAAAACGGAGGAGCGTGTCCATGAAACAACTGGGGGGAAAGTCACGTGTTTCGCACATGACCATTTAGAGGGCACTACATGAACAGTTGCTTTAATCTTACCATTTACAGCGAGTGCAGGTTCTCATGCCTGATTTTCCATCGCGAGAGAACTTTGTCGGTGTATTTTAACGAAGTGCTAAGCATTTCTTTGTTTCTTCAGTGGTCTTTACAGTCGAGGCACGTTTCGGTGGAGATGAAATCATCAGTATTCACAACCAGCACCAGTGGGCAGAGGAGAATCCTCATGCTATAATCCAATCTAGACACCAACAACAGTTCGGCATTAATGTGTGGGTAGGAATTGTTGGTGACTGCTTGGCAGGGCCGCATGTTTTGCCACATCGGTTTATAGGCAACCACTACCGAGCTTTTCTCTAGCGTGATATGCGAAATCTACTAGAAGATGTACAACTCACAGTCAAGGCAAGAATGTGGTACATGCCGTGGTGGACTAGTTCTCAATAAGATCTATCATGGCCGATGGACAGGTGAAGTGGGACCCACTGCATGGCATGGCCTGTGGGGACATCTAGAAACCCTTGTGTATGCTGTTTCTGTTTGCAACGAAGAGGTACCTGACCGATGGACAGGTGAAGTAGGACCCACTGCATAGCATGGCCTGTGGGGACATCTAAAATCCCTTGTGTATGCTGTTTCTGTTTGCAACGAAGAGGTACCTGACCGATGGACAGGTGAAGTAGGACCCACTGCATAGCATGGCCTGTGGGGACATCTAAAATCCCTTGTGTATGCTGTTTCTGTTTGCAACGAAGAGGTACCTGACCGATGGACAGGTGAAGTAGGACCCACTGCATAGCATGGCCTGTGGGGACATCTAAAATCCCTTGTGTATGCTGTTTCTGTTTGCAACGAAGAAGCACCTCACCATCGTATCGTGTATACCTGTCAGGACATCCGAAACTCCAGCAGTATCTTTGAGAGGATGCGGCGGTCCATGATGAGACATGTCGAGGCGTGCATTGAATCTGATGGGGAACAATTTGAGCACAAATTATAAATGTACTCTTTCGCCTACATCTCTCAAACTAAATGTTTCCGGACACATGTTGATATGGATTTTGTTTTTGTTTTGGTATGTGAAACCCGTGTCCAAATTTGTCCGCAAAGTTCAGTTACACCATGTTTTTATTTAAGAAGCTAATTAAATCACCAAAAGACTAAATAAGTAACAAATTAACCAAATAATAACTGATTGACAGAGTAGCTAAGCAGCTCTTCACCTCATGAACCAATTACCCTTCTAGAATCCGAGGTTCTCACACAGATGGTTACGAATAGTTCTGTCTTCTGGGCTGAAAGAATAAGCCTAGCAAAAAATCAACATGAAATTATTAACCAGATTCAATCGATTCGTGCTGTTCTCTTGACTTGCTCACTCTTTGACCTGAAGATGGAGATATGTTCCTCTGAAACGTCAGTTTTCTTTCCATAGACTACATAGCATTATATCCCAGAAGACAGAAAACTCCTAATTAACTATCAGAATAACAGCCTTATTTGGCGAACTAGACAGGCAACTAAGTAACTCAATATCAAGTCTTATTCCTTTGGCACAAAATGACTGACCGAGTAGTCCGAACATTCCGAATTTTAAATATTCACATATTTATAAATCCCTCTTCCGAGGTAACGTAGTTGGTTGAGGCACTATGCTACAAACCGGAAGGTCGCGGGTTCGAATCCCGATGAGGATTTTTTTCAATTTACCTAATCCTTCCAGCCGCACTATGGCCCTGGGGTAGCGGCCTCCGCAGTCTAGGGATAACGTTCCCACTTCATCACTCAAGGTACACGGGTTCAAACCCGGCGGAGGTCGTGGAATTTTTAAGGGGGGGGGGAATTCAGGGAACAAGTCCTCCGGGAGGGACTTTAAGCCGTGGGTCGTAGCTTTACGGCACGTAAAAGAACCTCATGCCTCAAGGCCTCTGAGCCAAATTATTAAGGACATTTCCCGCCCAACAATAGTCTCTAACGCCTCTGGTAGAGGAAGCATCTAGATACCGCTGAGCCAGTAGAGGCCGAACTCGCTGGCTGAGTCGGGACTGATGGCACGCACCAGTATCGGTAGGGTACAGAGACTGGTAGAATATCACAGGGGGACGTACAATAGACCACTGGTCGCGGTGCATGGGGAAACCCATCCCCTCCAATAATAATAATAATAATAATGATATCCCAGGGGTCGACTCGGCCTCTATCAGAAATGAGTATCAGGAATATTCATGGGAGGTAAAGGGCAGCCGGCGCGTATGACTGACAAACTTACCGCCATCTATGAGCCGATTGTCTAGATAATGTGGGAGCCTCAAAGTCTCACAACCCTATGGGCCTTCATGGCCTGTTACAGGAGTAGCTTTAGCCGTGTATTCGAATAATGAGACTGTGATCCATAATTCTGAGACTTCTTTTTCGTCTGCCCAGCCAGAATTGTGTGATAGTGCTTTCAAATATGTCACAGTAATTTCCTTAAACGAAATTTCCAAACCATTCTTCGCTGTCATATTAACACTGAGCGTTATGAAGTCTGGGAGGTTAGAAATGCGATGGGGAAAACAGTTTCAACATTTTTGTACTTAGGTCTACGTATAACAGATTGTAAAATTACGCGAGCTTCAACAATTTTCAGAGCCATGTTTGTGGACATTTAGCCAGAACAGGCTTAACAGCTTAATTCGTTCGGGATTACTGAGTATTTGGAATTTGCCCATCGTCCATTTCGGAAACTGGATCTGTTTCCAGCATCAGGTGAGAGAGTTTGATCCGTTAGAAAAAGTTAATCTCAAATACACTGAATGAGGTTAGCTTTTCTAAAGGCCCAGTGATTGAGGTTAGCTCTTTAGAGCCGTCTCAACGAAATCGGTGTCTTTTATCTCCTCTTCTGAGGACGGAAACAGATCCAGTTTCCGAAATGTTGTATTCTTTAGAAAAACAGATAATGGACAAAGTTCAAAAACCCAGCAATCCCGAGTACTGCATATCATCGCCAGAACTCTCTGGAATTCTGCCTAATTCATAATCATTAATCACCAACATTCCGCCTAGCTTAGAACATGTTAAATCACTTCTGCGTTCCAGAACAAAAGAAGAGTTGTGAAATGTGAGAAATGACGGAAAAACATGTTCCTCTCTCAGTGCAATTAATAATAAAGTAGTTTAAATTAATTTCTCGTTTTATGCCTTAAACTGCTCTTCTTCCTCTAATTCACAACATTTAAATCATCTTTTACGTCATTCACACATAATGGTATAAAAACATCATGCCTGTACAATCCAGTCAGTCAACATGTATCGTAACACATTTAGACGTTTCGGGAAACTCCTTAATGCCCATCCAATGGCAAAATAATCAATTTAATGCAAGTTCATTTTGTATTACTTAAAAGAATCCATGGAACTGTCTCTCAGAAGTTGGTACCTGCTACGTATATCGGCACCGAGCATCCTGGTGTGTTGCTAACGTCCTAGACTTGTATTCGAGAAGTGTTCGGTTCGAAACTCGGCCGGGACACAAGCTATCCTGACAAAAGTTTTCGTGGCTTTCCTCAATCGCTCCAAGCAAAGGTCAAGATTGGACATCGACAAGCTATGGCTCCTTCGTTTCATCATTCATTGACAATCCTATGATTCGACTCCACACAGTTCACATTCTCAGAGAAACATAAGATGGCCGACAGAAACAAGCTCCCAAATGAATGGGAAAATGATATAAAAGGTAAAGCTATTCCTGTAACAGGCCATGGGGGCCCATAGGGTTGTGAGACCTCGAGGCTCCCACATTTTCTCTAGACAGTAGGGTCACAGATGGCGGTAAGGTTGTGAGGCTTACGCGCCGGCCGCCCTTTACCCCCAGGAAGATTCCTGGTAGTCATTTCTGTTAGAGGCTTAGTCGACCTAAGGGTCATTTTGCGGCTGGAAGAATTAGGTAAATTGAAAAAATCCAATTACCTCATCGGGAATCAACCCACTACCTTCCGGCTTGTAGCATAGTGCCTCAACCAACTACGCTATCGCATGCCCCCAGAAAAGTAATGTTAATTAA